AAAAAAAGTTAATTACAGATCAAAATAAGCAGGAGGAAGGAGGCATCAATTCTTCCACAAGAAGAAGAAGAAAGTATTTCTAAGTAAAACAGGCTGTGCTCTGTTCTCATTCTTATGCTGTATTTAGCATAAAGATATGCAAATACAGCTGGTGGAATTGATTATTTTTCCTGGAAGTACCTATGGAAAACACATTGTTTCCTGTTTTGTATTTTTGACTCAGACCTATATGAAAATTCCACAGTAAAGCTACAAAACAAATACTGTTGGGGTGTGTTCCTAATTTTCTGCCAGAGCTAGCCAAGGCCTTTTAAGGCACGCGATCTCTGTCACAGCGGAGCAGAGAGTGTGTGCTTTCAGCACTGCAGCTTGGGTGCCATCGGGCTCGGTTGGGCCGCCCTGAAGAGGGACACACGCGGCTGCAAAATACCCATGGAGTCTAATGAAAATTAATTAATTTTCATTGGCATATGAAAAGTGCAGCACTAAAAAGTATCAATTTCCTTAGATTTGACCTGTGACATTGACAGGGCCCAGCTTTCTTATGTTTTGGTTTGGTTAATATTGGTTTCAAGTCTAAAAGCTTTTTGTGAGGATAATTATGAGGAAGTTTACTGTTTTTCTAAAATCTCTGTTCTTATTCTCGGCACCCATTGCATGAATGACTTCAAAGATGATGCAAGTCTATTTATTTATAAGCAAAAGAAACTTAGTAAGTTTTGAAGCAACAAAAAAAGTAGAAATCACTTTGAGAGTGCTATCACTCATTTGTAAGAAAGCACGAAGTAAAATGTTCAAATTGTGTGTTACATCTAGAAATACCCTAAGTTATATGAAGGGGTATTCTAGTTTGAAATTTGAAAGTAAAGGATAACATTATGTGTTCATAGTTGCTAGCCACTTAACCATATTGAGTTCAATAATGTTGACTACTGTTCTTACATACATTAGTTCTTAAGAGTGCTCAGTTGTGAAATCCTGCCACAGCACACTAACCATATTTAATAGGATCTCCTTGTCAGGCTTCATTAAAGTTTTTTTTTAATTTTTTCTTCTCCATTCAGCCCCTGCCCTCCCATAACAATTACCAGAACTCTGAAAGAAAAAGCAAAGGCAAAGAATTCTTCTCAAAAGAAAAAAAAAGGTCTTATTCACAATAGCAAGAGATAAATTTCAGAGCATTTGTAAGGCTTAAAAAAATTACAGGTTTTTGTGCATGGTGGAACATTCTGCCAACACATATGGCCTAACTCTCTTCTATGTCACTGCTTCAAAGTCTCCCAGATGCAAATATTTACCTCTGTACCACATGGATGGATGGATAGTAGGGAAGGGGCAGTTCTGGGCAATTTTTTCTGATTTAAAACAGCTCCCTACTAATTTTACAGCATAAGGTAAAAAAGAAAAGATTGGACTTCACCAGATAGCGAAACCTTTCACTTCTGTAAAGGCAATGGTCTGAGATGTTATACTTAAGAGCAAAAGAAAGCCTCTGCCTTTGCAAAGTAAACAACAGTGGATTTGGCAGCATTTCACCCTTGCTTGCACAGCTGCAAATCAAAAGACTTACAATCCAAATTTGAAATAATGTTTTTTTTTTTTTTTTTTTTTTCTTTTTAATAAATCCAGTAATGCCACAGAGAACTGATTTCCTGGCGTTATTCCAATGATATTTTTCTGACATACACTGGCCAAGTGTTGTGCTTACATTTTCAATTTCATAAAACTCTTTATTAAATACTAAAAAGCTGCCAGTAGTTTTTACTACAGAGTAAAATAAAAAATATATTGGAATTTATTAAGTTTACTTAGTTCAGCTAGTGCTGTAAGCTGTAGAATTGTATATTTTTATTAGAAGCATTTTATTCTTTCATCAATTTATAGGTATGGATAGACTATATCATAATACAGCATCTGAAAACAGAGGTTACTAATAGACCTATTGGTGTTGTATAAAATCACTTTGCAGCTGTGCATCACTGTATGTGAGTCACATGAGAAGGGAATATTGAACTTCCTTTTTTTTAATCTGAAATTTAGCTTGCACTAACATTTAAACTTGAATTGTACCAGACTCGGTTTTATTCCTGAGAGATCATTTGATAGAAAAAGAACTATTTCTTTGTATTTGTTTTTACTCTTTTACAGTAAGCTCGCATAGGTTCACTGGTCTTACTTTTTAAAATATTCTTACCAATATTCTAGGTTATTGAACAAAACCCACATCATGTTCATGATGTGAATGTAAGATGTCAGAAGATCTTTGAGCAGTATGCAGCATTCATGCTTTAAACATTCAGCACCTGTTTCCAGGACTTCCCTGTGTGAGGATAATCCTGTGGCTCACCACAGAAGTCTGTTAAATACTGCAATTTTCTCTCAATGGACTCAGCAATTTGGTTCATTTTGAGACATGAACCTACAGTCATCTTGCATACCCTTTGTAAGTGTTCTGAGATTTCTCTATGCCTATAGCAGTCTAACAAAACATATCTGTAAATTTCCTCCAGCATATGATAAAGAACTAAAAATGATAGGATATGTATGTTTTTCACCTTTTCTGTAGCTCTGTGAGAAGTATTGATAGTGCAAGCTATATAAATATCAATTTTTCGTTTGTGTACCTAGCAAATGAAGAAATCTACAGAATTGTAGAACAGATTTTAATGAGATCTCTCTCCATGTAATGTCATCCACTAGCACACAGTGATTTTTATATATTTATGCTTCATTCTGAACAAGTGAGCTAGAGTCAAATCAGAAATTCAGATATCATACTAATACCAAAAACATAACTGCAGTGTTACCTCTAGCACAATACAATCAGCCTTTAGCCTTCCACATGCTGTTGAAAGGCTAGTTTGAATGAAAAGCCCCAGGAAAAGACTCTCCTCCCCTGAGGAAGTTACATGCTGCTCAAAATAATTAAGAAACAGCTGTAGTTTCAGAGATTTTTCTCCAAGTCAACGACCATTTGCAGATATTTAAAGATAGTTTATGACATTATGGAAAGTAGTCCCTAAAACTTTGGGAATTGTAAATGGCTGGAGCTTCCTGGGTGAGGCCATGAAACCACGGAAGGTAGCATCAATTATGACAACTGTGATATCAAAAAACAATTTTGCTGCATCTGGATCTAACTGCAGTGAAATAACTACGTTGGTGTTAATTTGCTTAACTAAGTTTCTCCATGTTGTGCTTTTTTTTTTTTTTTTTTTTTTTTTAGATTAAAAAAAACCTGAAAAAAGAGGGAAAAAAAAGGCATTTAGAGGTTGGAAGAATAAGTCTCCAGACTTCAAGTATTTTATTCTTCCTTAAGCCCTGGCATGTGAGATACACATTTCTATGTTTCATAATTCAAAACACACATATTTACAATTGTGCATTGACCAAATGGGAGCTAAAACTGGGGAAAGATGCACTGTCACAGTGTAGCTGGAGAGCCAGCAGGATAGAGGACAACAGTTCAACAGGAGAGTCAGGCAGAAAAATTACTTTCTTGCTGTAAGCATCCAAGAGGGCATTGAATACTTGTTAACTGTTCAGGTTCAGCTGACCAGGTTGAACCCACACTGACTTTAGTGACACTGAGATGCACATATTTACAGACGAAACAAAAGTAAAGTCAAGAAAACAAAGAAAAGGGAGTGGGAAGTATAAAAACATCTTTCAGTGCTGCCCCTCCCCAGATTAGCCATTTCTCAGGCATGTCATCTCACAACACTAAATGGAGACTTCAGCCCGATTTTGGTGGGACTTCAGCATTTTTCTACAGGAGGTTTTAGATGTTCCTCGTGTAACTGGTTAGTCTGTAGTCAGATATCCAATGCATCACAATTCCAAACTACTGCCAACAAAGCAATGCTCAATGGCTCAATGGAACTTAAGATAATAAATCTTATGTTTAATGGCCTCTGAACAAAAGTCAGTGTTAAGCTTTTACTCTGAATTGCTATTTTTAATTTGATTTTTTTTCTATAGTAAACATTTGTGAGTATCTGTGAAGCAATCCCAATCTTTAGCATTTCTTCAGTGGTGCAAGGGGAGACTTGTTTTCAGATACGGGTAGTTTTCTATGCTACATAGAAAAGAGGTGATACAGCTAACACTGCAGAGATCCTAAATGCACATTAATCAAACACTCATAGAAACATTAATAAAGAAGGATATTACCACAAAGCATGAAATATACCTGGGTTCAGGAAATAGCACAGAACTGAACATGGTACTTCCTCTAAAATAAATCATTATCACACAAAATCCCGACAGAAAAAAAGTTTCCTATGCTAATTACATCTTGAGAGGAAGAACATGTGGTGACCAGTGACAGGACCTGAGGGAATGGCCTGAAGATGTGTTACGGGAGGTTTAGGTTTGACAGTAGAAAAACATTCTTCACCCAGAGGGTGGCTGGGCACTGGAACAGGGTCCTCAAGGAAGTGGTGACAGTACTAAGCTTGATGGAGGCATTTGGACAATGCTCTCAGATATATGGTGTGATTCTGGGGGGTATCTGGGCAGCACCACGAGCTGGACTTGATGATCCTTTTGGGTCCCTTCCAACTCAGCACATTCTATAACTCTGTGAACAGAATTTTCTCTCTCAGCCTTTCCTCCTAAGAGATCCTCCAGTCCTTCAATCACCTCTCTTGCTCTCTGTTGGACCCGCTCCAGGAGCTCCATGTCTCTGTTGTCCTGCTCCATGTCCTGAGGAGCCCAGAACTGGACACAGCACTTCAGGTGAGGCCTCAGCAGGGCTGAGCAGATGGAAAGGATCACCTCCTTGGACCTGCTGGGAATACTGTTCCTAACGCCCCCAGGACACCACTGCCCCCAGGGCGCACTGCCGCCTCACGGAGCCGCGCTGCGCGCCCGCTCCCGCCCCGCAGCCGGGAGGCGCCCCGCGCGCTGTACGGCACGGCAGCGCGGCACTGTCGCGCGGTAGCAGCGCGGTGGCCAATGGGGAGCGGCGCCCGGCGTACGCAGCCGGCAGGCGCGGCCGGGCCACACGTGTGCGGTGGGAGCGGCGGGCCCGGGAGCGCCAGCGGGACCGTGGGATAGCGGAACAGAGGGACAGCAGGACACAGCGGGACATCGGGGCAGAGGGACACAGCAGGACACAGCGGGACAGAGGGACACAGCAGGACACAGCGGGACAGAGGGACAGCGGGCGTGCCGGGCCCAGCCTGCCTGCCTGCCTGCCTGTGCGCGGCCTCTGGTACCCCACCGTCCACTGGGAGGGTTTGATTTCGCCATGGGTGTTAACCGGCAGGCGCGGGCTGTCTTTCCCTCCCGGAGGAGCCGCGGCGGGTCACTAATGTTGTCTCTTGCTCCGTTTGCAGTGTTGCCGCGATGGAGAGCAAGGGTAAAAAGAAGTTCGTGGGGAAGAGTGGAAAAGGACCTCGTGGAAAAGCGCCGCACGGGAAAAGGAGATTTAAAAAAGATAATGGTAAGGAGGAGAAGGGTCATCAGTAAATGGTTACGGTTGTGTACTGGCGTGCTTGGAGTTCTGTATTTCTTCTCTCTTGGTAAATTCATGTTTTGAAACGGTTTGGCAGATTGTCTGCCTGGTCTTCAGTGAGACTTTGACAGTGTCTTCTCTCCTTTGAGATCCTCACAGAGGTGCTGATGAATTAAGGGCTGCAAGAGCAGTTGGTGAGGTAGATTGAAAACCGGCTGAACAGCTGGGTCCAGAGAGTGGTATGCTCTTTGGAGACCACTGATTAGTGATGGACCCCAGGGGTGAGTACAAAGTCGAGTTTAGTTCAACAGCTTCGTGGAGGACCTGGATGATGGGGCAGAGTGAAGCATCTTCTGATTTACAGGTGACACAGAGCTGCAGGGAGTGTTAGATGCCCCAGATGGTCGTGCTGCCCTCCAGGGGGATGTCAGTAGGTCGGATGAATGGCATGGCAGAAGCCTGGTGAAGTTCCTCAAGGAGCAAAGAGAAAAGTCCTGCAGCTTGAAGGGAACAGCTCCATCATGCACTGGAAAATACTGGGGAAAGCCCAGGGGCTCCTGCTGGTCAGAGTTGGATGTGAACCAGCAGTGTGCTCTGGTGGCTAGCTGCATCCTGGGCTGCGTTAGGAGGAGTGCTGGCAGCAGGTTGAGGGCTCTGTGCTTGCCCTCTCCTCAGCCCTGGTGAGGCTTCACCTGAAGTGCTGTGCCCCAGCTCTGGCCCTTCAGTGCAATAGAGATACAAACATGCTGCAGAGAGCCCAGTGAAGGGCTGCAAAGATGATGAAGGGACCAGGGCATCTCTTCTGGTAGGAAAGGGTTCAAAGACAGAGCCAGACTTTTTCTAGTAGTGCCCAGTGACAGGACCAGAGAACAGAAAACACAGATATTCCTTCTCAATATCAGGAAGAACTTTTTACTTGGGGAGTGCATGGGCACAGGCTGTCCCTGGAGATGGTGGAGTTTACCAGATTGGAGATAGTCAAAAGCCACCCAGACGTGGTCTTGGGCAGCTGGTTTTTAGTGGCCTTGTGCGAGCAGGAGGGTTGGACCAGATGACTTCGAGAGGTGCCTCCCAGCCACAGCCATTCTTTAACTCTGTCTTGCATTCAAAACTGTACTGACTGTGTGAGCCACTAATTCACTTTAAGCAGGTTGCATTGCAAGCCCTTCATCTCTGTTTGATTCACCTAAAATACTCTCTTGTTACAGTAATTTATTTTTTTTTTAAGCAACAGTAGTTATATTATAGCATTTTAATTTGTTTTGTGTTGGTTAATAGATTCAGGTCCACCGAAGAAAGTCTTTAAAAAAGGAGATGAGGAAGGAAAGCCTAAATCCATTTCCAAGAAATTTGGTAAAGGACAGTTAAGACCTGGAAAAACTACTGTCAAACAATTCAAGAATGAACAGCAACCATTAAAGTTTGCAAAGAAAAGAAAACTCCAGGATGGTGAAGAGGGAGGTGAGCAGATTTTTTAAGCCTGGATATTGAGGGAAACCAGGTTTTGGGAAACACCATTGTTCATCTAGATTTTCCTCTTTCTGATTGCCTTTCCAAATTGGCTGAATAACTCCAGGTTTACTTCCTGTTTAATCTTTGCTGTGGGAAAAATTACTGCACTTTATTAAGCTTGAGGCTTAGTCAAGTCATGAAAATCAACAGTTTGGAGTTTTCTTGGAAGTCAAAAGTAAGACACAGTAGCAAATTTTAAAATTGTCGTACTGTCCTAAAATTCTGTTTATTTTAATGGCAATGTTAAGTGGTCAGCTAGAAACTGGCAGTTGTTACACATGATTTGCAAACGCAGAGCTTTTGTAAAAGTACTTGCTATAAGCTTTGGAACAGAAATTCATTAAACAGAGTTGATTATCCTTTACATTTTTTCCTTTCTGTGGTCCGGACTATCTGGTCACATCCTCTAAGAGAAAAAAAAAGCATAATGGGTGTTAACACTGCTTTTATGTTTTGCAGCTTTTTTTCTTTCTGGTGTTTATGCAGAAAGCCTAAATAGTTGTCTGGTTTCATCACGTTTAAATGGACTTCTTTTTCAAATTAATTTCTTTTGCTTAAGATCTTCATCTTGTCTCATCCTCTCCTCTAAAGTAAAGCTCTACTGGGGCAGTTAATCAGTGTTGTAAAATGAGAAGTGGGATTTTAAATGAGGCGTTCTGAAGTTCTGCAGAAAGATGTCATTTGTTTGTGGGACAGTAGATTATGTCGAGTATTTTATTATTGCTGTTCTTGCATGTTTGCAGAATGGCTTCACATGGAATATGCACTAGATGTCTGAAAATCTAATAACAGTAGAATGTTTTTATTAGGCTGCTTTAAAAAAATGGAAACCCACAGCAAACCTTTAAATGTTATTCATAAGAGTAAATGAAAGCCTCTGTATATTGCACTACTCTCAAAGCATTACAAGTTTTTCTTGTCACTGTTGCTTTAGGAGAGTGATATAAAAATCAATAATATGCTTTGTAAAAAGGAAAACATGGGTTTTTGAATGGGTAAAACAGTTAAGTATATGCTGCTAAACACCAATAAACAGTGCTCTACACATTTAGGTGATGTCTTTAATGCATAATTTGTGACCCTTTTATAACATTATTTTGCCCTAGTTCGTTGTGTGACAGTGTACAAGGGTTGTGTAGTAAAATACTGTGCTTAAGGAATTGGAGTAAAAATATTAGACATGTAGAAAGGGTTTAACTTCTTTTATAGAGTTTTCAGATATGTGTCTTTGAGTTAGGGTTCTCCTTTTGGGAGAGGGGAAAGGTATGCATGAATTACCAGTAAACTAAAATGGGAGCATTATTGGGGCAGCCATAGCTGCTGAATACATCTTCAGTCAATTTTCAAACTATTAAGGGATTTATGATGCATCCTGTGACAGTTTTGAGGAAAATTAATTGTTTGCCTTGTTCTCCCAGTAGTCTAGATCTCCAGCTTAGCATACTTATTCAAGATTTATGGTTTCATGTTGGCTAGCTGCGTAACTGCAGGCAAAGGTCCTGAATTGTTAGTAATTCAAGTCACAGAACTGCCACAGTTTAGACTGGTAAATAATTCTATTGCTGCTCTTTTATTTATTGACTGTAGAAAATACATTTATTTTTGTCCTAAGGGTCAGATTCTAAGAAGCCAAATTGGAATGACTTCAAAAAGAAAAGGAAAGAGTTAAAGCAGACCAGACAAATTAATGATAAAAGTAATTATGACGTCATTGTAAAATCTAAACAAGTATGGGAATGCGTAAGAAGGTAATGACTTTTTTTCTTCCACTCAGTTGACTTCTAGTCATAAATTGCCAGAATATAATCTTTCTTATCTTGTAATTATATAAAACTGTATTTCTAAACTGAATGTCTTTGAGTGAACAGTAACATTGCATGCAATTTTGTAGGGAGATCAAACAGAGTATGGTAACCTGTGGTCCTAGGAAGGTCTGGTTTTAACTTGTATTTTAGACTAAAATTTATAAATTTGTGAATAATTGCTTAAGAAATTGCAGGGGTTTTTTGTTTTTTTCAGCCCTGAGATACAGAGCGTGCACGATTCACCCTGATCCTGAAGTGGGATTACTGTATGAGTTTTATGTGAAGGTTCATTGTCTCTGAGGGTGTAATTCTAGAACTAGTGCCCCATGTCAGCAAAAAAAGTTAATTTTGCTTGTCCTAAGTGTTTGTGCTTTGCATGCTTACAGATTTTTGAACCTGTAAGCAGCTCTGACTGCTAATTTGAATTTATGTTTCAAAAAATGTTTTTACTCAAAAAAAAATAAAGTTAAAGTGTGGAATTCTGTTCTGATTTCCATCAACTGAAACAGCTTAATCACATCTCTGTACAGGGTTAATGAATGACAGTATACATTTGCATTGGCAGAAGCCAACCTGGTTTTATTTGTATTGTGTTGCTTCTTAATTTATATATATAAGTGAATCATCCTGCAAAAAAGCTGCTTCCTCAATTAGAATTGTTGTACTAGATTTTATTTTGCTTGTAGGAAGAAATGCGATAAGGAGAAACGAGAAAAGCTGATGAATGAACTGCAGAAGCTTCTTCGTGGGAAAATTAAAAACGTAAGAAAAAACTGATGCCATAGTGCACAAATTCTTCTTTAACTAATGGTGAAACTGTGAGTAAAGAGAACAAAAACAGGGCTGAAAGACTGCATTTAGCACCTGTATTTCAGGACAGTAGTCCTGGAATACTTTTGTTTGTCAGCTGGCTGCTGTAAAAGGCTGCCAAGTAGCTTCAGTGCTGTGAAGTTTGATGTTAGCTGGAGTTCAGGAGCTCAGAGGTTTTATTAGTCACAACTGTTGCTTTGCATTTTCTAGGGAAGTTAGTGTCCTCATGCTTAATCATACTAAACAGTCTTTCTGCTTTATTCTTGAGATGTATAAATCTGCAGTGAAGAGCATGTTGAGCTTTTCATATTCAGTGCTGAAGTGGAACTGTTTCATCATACTTACTCTGAAATTATGAAGAAGAGGAACAAAATGGAAATACCATTTAACGGTTTTATTTCAGTATGAAAAACCTTGATGTTTGTCCTTAATTGTCAGCAGCAGTTGTCTGTATTTTCTTTGATAGAGTACTTGTGAAGGGGTAAAAATCCATAGTCCAAAGTCTTGGTTTGTTATAAGTAGGTAACTGCTTTTCTAATTTTATAATTGGCATTACATGTGGCATGACACTATACCAGAGAGCACATACATTAAAATAATTATGGTGCATACTGCCTTTTGAATGGCCTAGAGTAACAGAATATCTCTGTCCTTTAGTTGGCGTTTGCACATGATTCAACCCGGGTGATCCAGTGTTTTATTCAGTATGGTAATGAGAAGCAAAGGCAAGAGACATTTGAAGAACTGAAAGGTATTTTCATTTTACTAGCATGCTTCTGTATTGTGGTTAGGAAGGATTTTAACAAATCATGTTGTTTTCTCCTGAATATTTTTACCTTTTTTTCTGAACTGATGCATCATTTCTAGTGAACTCTTCATACTTACTTAAATAATGACTTATCATTTCATGGAGTTAATGTAGTGAAAAATAAACCAGCTGAATGTTTCTCCCTTCTTCTAGATAGCCTAATAGAGTTGAGCAAGTCAAAATATTCCAGAAATATTGTGAAGAAGTTTCTTATGTATGGGTGAGTATCAAGTGAATTTGTTCATCAGTGTTTTTTCATTTCTAGTGTGAATGCTGCTTCTTAATCTGTAGTGGATTGATCATGAATAAAAAAATATGTCTCTGGCAACATCTTTTCAATATTATGGAGTTAAAGGCAGGGGGGTGCTAACAGTGTTTTTCCTTTTGCAAGAAATAAAGCTAATGCTGTACTTGTCAAGGAGAACGTGACCAAAAAAAGGTTAGATTTACTGTCAGAGTTGATGTCTGCTGTATATAAAACACTGGCTTTTAAAAATTTTCTTTGCTAAGCATTTCAGTATGGCATTTGTTGTTCTCTAGAATTTGTTCACTGTTTACTTTCCCTCAAAATGCCTTTCAATTTTTCCACATTCCTGGCTTTCTTTACATATTTTCCCAAGTGCCATAAGGCTGATTCAGATTCATGAATTTCATGGTTTCTGTGATAAAACTTACTACATGAATGTGTTTCTAAAAATAAAACTATCAATAGGTAAACTTATCTCTAGAAGTTTTAACTCTTGCTATTTGTATTTCCCTGTAAAACAGGACAAAAGCACAAGTTGCAGAAATAATAAAAAGTTTTAAAGGCCATGTGAAAAAAATGCTCCGTCATGCCGAAGCATCTGCTGTGGTGGAATATGCATATAATGACAAAGCCATTCTGGAGCAGAGGAATATGCTGACAGAAGAACTATATGGGAACACTTTCCTGGTTTACAAGGTGATATTTCAATACTTTGTAGTTTAAGATAGTTTAGCACATAAGGTGTTGTGTTCGTAATGCCTTACCTATCTCACGTACTATTTTTTTTTTTATTACATTTCTTTCTGTCAGCTGTCCAAAGGTAGTCTAGTTTAGCATGTTGAAATGTAATGATTACTTGCTCATTTCTAGTTTAGATGAAATTGTTGTGGGTAGTTTTAGTTTGAACTATGTAAAATGTGCTACATTCATGTATGAGCTTGCTCTGCTCATCAAAGATGGTTTGTTCTTATATAGTTTCAGTTCTCATAATGTCTAGGCTGATATCATCCTTGATGAGGTAAGACGTAGACATAACTCTTGATTTATACTGTAGATGACTCTTGTGTCAGAGCTGTCTTATGTCTTGTGAAAACTGAGTGTGGGCAGAATGGGCCAGTATCCACATACAGTGTTCCATTTAGGCTTTTATTTTTATCTTTGTTTCCTTTTCCCCTGAAGACTGTAGGACTTGAGTCCAAACTCCACTGAAATCTAGGTCTATGGTAGATCCTCAGCAGGCAGTTGGAACCTTCTTAAAAATACAACCTCCATTCTTTTGAATTCTGTTTTTAATTTTTGCTGACTTGTAAAGTTGGTATCCATTAGGGTTAGGAATTTTGCTACAAAGGACAGACCTGTTTTACAGCATTACTAATTCCACTCTAATTACTTTTTCACCTGTTCAGTTATATCCAAGATTTCTGTTAAAACTGTCTTAAGAAATTAACAGCTTATTTCTGGACCTGTATTTTCTTGACAGGTTATTGTAAGTTTTAGTTAGGCATTTTGCAACACTGAGTAGTAGAAGATGTATGTTTGTTGGGCTGTAATTTGTACTCAGAGTCAAACAGCCTATGAAATGAAGTGCGCTGTTAGCTTCCATCATTCTGATATTTTTGGCATAACTGCTTTAAGTAGCCATACATTGTGGTGCAAAACCAAGATGCAGCAAAATGTACGTTTATAAAACATTGCAGTGCAGTCTTTAAAAAGTAGCAGGGATGGTTTAAAAAATATTTCTTCTAATTGTCTATCCAGTCAGACTTTTCTTTTAACAGCAGATTATTTTAAGAGTTACCAGTGTAATTCTTTGCTAAGATACCAGGAAGTACTTCTGTGTGTAAGGTATATCGTATATATTCTCCCCATCTGCTGTTCCTGAACTGGAATTTCCTGGGCCTTTGTTAGCTTCTTAGTTCATTAACTTGTTTTGTTTCCCTCTGATGTGTTCCTAAAGCAGGATTTCTGCTTAGCTCAGGAGCACCTTAACACAGTGCCAGTTTTATGTATTTTGCCTTGTATCTGGCATGAAGAGCTGGTGTAACTGGCAAAAAGCAGCTCAGGCTATAGAAGGGGGTTTTGTTTGCTAATGAGGAGTATTTAATTTGTAGAAACTGAAGTTTACAGCTTCTGACATACTCAGAAAAGGTAGCTTTTTATTTTTAAAATTGCAAAAATTGTTAGTTTTGCAGGAAATTTATTTTGGTTTTGATATTCCTGACATTTGATTGAAAAAGGTCTAAGCATTGTAATTTCTATGAACTCTTATTCTTACTGGTACAATTAAACCTCTGTGCATTCGTTTCAGACACCGGCTGTCCCAACACTGGATAAAGTGCTAGAAGCTCAGCCTGAAAAGAGAGAGGCCATCTTGGATGAGATGAAGCAGATTCTTACACCAATGGCACAAAAGTAAGGACAAAAATCAGCTGAAGGTGTGACAATCTAGCAGAAATCAGTTTGTTTCTGACAACTGGTATATTTGTAAGTTCAGGTGACAGTGATACTGATATTCTTTTAAGCTGTTATGTTGCTGTGCTGAATAGTCTATGGTTTTGTCCCAGGTGTCATAATGAGCATCTTCCCTTAATTTTGAACTCTCCTTCTAAGAGTTATAGCATCCTCTGTCCCAGTCAGACCATTGGTAGAAATGTTACACTATGCTTCTTCAGTGAAGAAACTACAGTCTATAATTTTTAAGTTGTGCTAGAATCTTCCACATACTGTAAGTGTTAAGCATTCGAATCTGCAATGACCGTGTGTTTTTTGCTCACCACGCTGCCTAACTTTTTAAAATACAAATGAGGTATTGCTAACATAATTTAAAATGATTGTGGGGAGCTTGTTGCTTATTTTCATCTATTCAAATACAGAGAGGCGGTGATAAAGCACTCACTGGTACATAAAGTATTTTTGGACTTTTTCACTTACGCTCTTCCAAAACAAAGATCTGTAAGTATCTTTATTTTGCTTTTTGTCTTCTTTTGCCTTTCTGTGAAATGTTTTTTATCTTCTTGTGAAAATGTTGCAAGTTAACTAGACAAAAATACACATATTTCATTAATAGATTTCTACACATGTGGTGATTCTAGATAGATTATGGAAGAGTAGTGTTGTGTAGAGATTTATAACCACAGTGAACTTTCACAAGTGTTTGTGGTACTTGAATTTTTTAAAAAAAGTGAAATGACTTTGATGTTTCTTCTTTTCCTGCTAAATGACCCTTCTCTGTAGCTGGAGAATATAATTAAAGTGAGGACCATTGCTTGCAGTAGTTTAGCTTTCCAGTGTGTAGTTTCTTAACAACGTGCAGTGATTATCCAAAAGTCTCTTGACCAAAATACAATGAGATTGGCCCTTCTGTCAGCAACCAAAACTTTCTTTGCTGTATTAAATTGCAGGTTTAAGGTTATGTCAGACATTCTTGTATTAAGGCCTAAATCTGTCTGTGTGATGTGACATGGTTTAAGCTGGTGTCCTGTTTGACTTTACCTGTCTTCAGGGTGTGTCCATCAGCCCCACTTGGTTCTGCAGCTCAGAACCATCTCACTTCAAGTCAGGCAGAGTCTTCTAAACTTGCTGTCTCTTGCTTCTTCCTGCCAGACTGGACTCCTTTGTTACTGTTAATAAACCCAAAGCTAAGGGTTGGGAAGTGAACTATTTGGGGCCTATTCTGAGTCTAAATCTTCTGAGCCTAGAACATTCCTGTGCATGGTTTTGTGTCTGAGAATGCTTTTGGATTTGCAAGCTTGCATGAATCAGGGGAATAAGGTTGTATCCCCTTGCTTGGCTTTCTGTGCAAATGTGCTAGTATATGGACATGCTCTTCGGGGTTTGGAAATCCCTTCTGCAGATCTGTTCCTGCCTGTGCTTATGGGTAGTGACACTAATTGTGTTGTGACTGAGCAGTTTGTAAATAATTGGTAAAATGCTTGGAGCCTTTGCCTGGAGAGCAAGAAGAACTAGAGATAGAAAGAGGCAAAGGTGGGAGCTGCACTTCGAGGAAATCTATTAGATAGTAACAGAAGTAATATTTAGTAACCCAAGAGGGTGTAATTCGATTTGATTTGGTTTTTTCCTTTGGCTGATAGTATTGTCAGATAGCTTCAGAAAATTTCATTCCTTTGATGTGAAGACAAAACTTTTGGCTGTTTCTTGTAATATCCGATTTATAACATAACCTGCTGCTTAAATGACTTTAGTTCTTCTTACTTTCTGGGTTATACTCTGTATATGTGAATATGCATCAGCTTCAAAGATTTCTTCCTAAATTAATGTCTGTCTTTTTCTCTAATTTTTGTCTCAGTTCTGAGCACCCTTTCTTGTATTTTTTGTAATAGGACAGCTGACAAGCTTCCATACAGTTGTAATTTCATGGCATGATTATTATGAACAGTGTAATTATAAAGAGAAAGCTTGTGTCATTTAAAATCTTTTGTACTCCTGTTGAGGCAGTTTTTCATAGATCCAAGAAATGAGAGTGGTTCTGTAGAGCCAGTGATGGAATGTAGAACAGTATTGTATGGGCAGACAAAATAGTTCTTTCTTGCCCACCTGCCTTGAGTTCCTCAAGCCTTTTCTTTGATCTTTTTGCTTTATCACCTTTTCTTCCTCAGGAAATGATAGAAGCTATCAGAGAGGCTGTCATCTACCTGGCACATACTCACGATGGAGCCCGAGTAGCAATGCACTGTTTATGGCATGGCACTCCCAAGGTAATGTTTGGTTTCCCTCTACTTAGTTCTCTCTGACTGCCCATATGGATCCTTCTACTTGTGCACATTTTCAGGAAATTAAGAAATTGAGAGCAAGGTTAAAAACTGGCCTGTCTTTATCTGTTGGCAGACTTAAGCAGGGCTTTTTGTGAATCAAATGCTTAGATTAGAACTTTTGTAGCAGAAGCATCTCATTTTATTTTTAGCAGAGGTTTTAGCAGTGACACATGGAGTAAGGTTATTGGCATTTCATTTATCCCATGGATTTTTTTAATATAAGTGAAATTGACAGCAGGGAGAGGATAGTAAAGAAGTCATAATGTGAAACTATGTTTGGCTTTGGAATGCGAAGACTTGCAAAATATTACAGAAAGAGTGGTTTAGTTTCATCAGCTGATACAGTATCCAGGACTTCTTTTGGTGTAATACATGTAATCACATTTTGGAAATACCGTAATGCCTCCTATATTTTTCTATATTAAAAAATAAAAAAGATGACTTATTAAAATAGTCCATTTGTTAAAGAATGGAGAAAAAAATTAAGTTCCTAGGTGTAGTGATGGATCTAAAGAGACTGTGCAGTGATTCCAAGAGCCAAAATACAGGGAGGGAACTTTCTGACAAAATATTCTTGCCTAGTAATAGGGGTTTAAACCAAGCTAGAATTTCAAGTTCTGTTGAATATGTTTCTTTCCAAATGAAGAGATGAAATACATTCTTCTTTAATTAATGGACAAAATATAAGTGAACATATGTGATGGTTTGGGGTTTTTTGTTTGCTGTGGTTTTTTCCAAGTTTTTTTGACATGTCCCATTGGTGACCTGGACTTGTAAATATACCACAGGATCTCTCTGGGATCAAGTCACAATTTAGGTTTAACTTTCCGTACTGGTTCTGAGTGTAAACTAATAGAATGTGTGTGAGTCTTACGCCTTTGCCTTAGAAAGCACATTTAAGATTATCTTTTTAAAAGGTGTAAATAGCAGTTCAGTTACTCAGAATAACTGGTATTCTAGGCTCATTTGAGTTTCCTCTTTTCTTTTGGATAGGACAGAAAAGTCATTGTGAAAACTCTGAAGACGTATGTTGAAAAAATAGCAACGGTGAGTGTTCATTAACCATTTATTTCATAGTCTTTGAAACTAGTGATTTGATCGAGGCTAGCTAGAATGTTCTTTGGTACTGGGAACAATAAAAAGACTGGTTAATAGAACCAGTCTTAAAATAGCAGTGATGTATTAGATAAGATAAAATAATTGAACTGTATGGAATATTTAGAGGCACACCAAGAAGCCTCATTGTGAACACTGCATGTAGTACTATGCTTTGTTATGGCTGAGTTCATTATTATTCCTCAGTTTTCTTTCTGCTTTTTATTTTGTTGGTCCCAACTTTGTACTGCATCTTCATGCAGCTCATTGGTTAATTCTTCTTGGTTGGGAGCAAAACAGCCTGCATAAAGAGGAGGGAGAAAAATCAAGGTATGGTGGAGATGTCATTGAAAAGGCTCTCTGAATATGTGTGTTTCTTAGAAGATGCTCAATATTTTTTTCAAGTCAGGAAGCTTTGAAATACATTGGCATACAATGGAAGAAGTCTGTTTTATTTTTTAATGAATAACATGTGTTTGGAGTCTGCAGCACCAGCAGAGTAACAGTTGAAACCAGATTTCATGGAGTTGGACAAAACTGTAGCTGTAAAGAGGAGCTTTTTAAACTTCCCTTCCTGGTTGCTATGGTGTTTTTTTTAATTTGCTAGTAGTTATTGTGGTCTCAACCAGTGGCCTTCAAGCATTTTGATCACATCCTGGGCATGTATCTCCAATGTATATATTTATGTATAAATCACATGCCTTTACTACTATAATAGTGTACATTATAATAGAAATAGAAAATTTGAAAGGATAAGATAAAAATAACCAGAGGCTATTTTGTTTTTCATTAATGTTTCTGAAAATATTTCCTTTCTGCATCACAGTGGATTGTCTTGTGCAACCCACTTTGAGGGCCACTGGTCTAGGTAATGTTTCTCTCTGTAATTTTCCACTCAAATAAATGAATTGTTTCATACTATAAATTATATATTATATGGAAATATGAGACAGTGGGTAAATAATAACTGACACAACACTGGAGCACAGAAGATCTGGTTTCACTTTGATGTAGAGCCTCACTGACATACAAGTGAATTGGTTTGTGCCCTTTTGAGTGTACTGGAGACTTGATCTCCTGCAATGCAATAAAAACTGTATGGCTCATTGTAGAGATATGTTCTCCAAAAACATTGTATGTGACTTGGTTTACTTCTAAGCAAATCAACAATAGAAATAAAGTCTGTGTGTAATGTTGCTGTAGGGAAAATACTATGATTTCAAATGTTGGTAATACAGTAGGATTAGGTTAATAGCTTGAATGTGATAAAACAGTATCTCCACTTGAAATGGAAGATTTACCTTTGTTTTAACAACATATTTCTCTTAACAAGCCTTGCTTTTGGAGAGAAACCTAAATGTTGGACTTATTCTGTGACAGTAGTCAGAATTTGCTTGTGTTTCATGTTGTGTTGTGTTTGAGACAAACCCTCAGAAATCCTCATTCTAAGTCAATTAGCATATCCATAAAAAATGACTGCATGTGGTTTCTGATGTCTTGTCTTTGCAGGGTGAATTTTCTCATCTGGTCTTGCTGGCAGCATTTGATTGCATTGATGACACTAAACTTGTGAAGCAGTTAATTATATCAGTAAGTAATTGAATTTCTCCTAAAATAGTGTATTAAATAGTGTCAGTGTGTTTGTCAGTGTATTGGAAAGTAGGAATCCATCTGCTTTTTTAGACTATTTAAATACTTCCCATCTTTTCTGTTTCCTTATATTTATGTATCATGATTAGTTTTTTCCTAGCAGACCTTAGCACTTTCAGACATCATTTTAATTCCTTATTTGAATTAATTTTTAAGCTAGGTTCAGTACTTGCTGAAATCTTCCCTTTTAGTACACATTCATTCTGGATAAGGGGTGACTGGAGTCTCTTTAAAGTCAATGTCTTTTATCATGGAAGTTTGAGCTCTACTAGTATTTCTAGAGATGGAGTCGGTGGAAAACTTCAGAATAATGATGGTATCTTATTGATTTTACAAGCAGTACTATTCGCATCCTCTCAGCAGAGAAATTCACATTGATGTACGTGTTGTAATCTCCCTGCAGTAGTACTCATGCTATAGCTGTAAGGGCTGATGGGTTTAGGGGAAGTGGCAGGGAGATAAAGGTGAGGCAAATCTTCTGTGTATGGAGAAGGAGTATGAGGAGAAAGTGGTTCTGATGAGGCTTGTTTTGCAAAGTAGGAACGATTTTTCCCTTGTGCAACTTGGTGTAGGGTGCAATGGGGATTTTTTTACCGTATCATAGGGATTTGGCCTCTCTAATGGAGTGATGAAAAGATCCTCTAATGGGTCTGTAGCGTCTTCATGTGGAGGTGGCTCTTGTTCCTCAAAGATTCCAGCTGTGATTGCAGGTGGGTTTGGTTCCCAGACCCAGGTCTGAAATGTAACAACTTCTAGGAGAGGTCTAAGGAAGTAACTTCTGACATATCTGAGCTGTCCTAATGTGCGATATTTGACCTTTTCCTGTACTGGGTAACAAGCACTCTGCTTTCTGGAGAGTTTATTAGTTCACATATAATGTCTTTAACTGAGCTTCCAAGATGTCATTTAATTATAGAACCATCTGAGATCAAGAATTAATCCATTATCAAAGGTAGTTGAATGTTTACTGTTTTATCCTACAACATCAGTCCGGACAGCAAATGGACAACACGACGTGGCCTTCGCAAATACACAATTGGCCCATCAGGGTTTATGTGTGGTCAAGAATGGGGAAAAGATGGCAGGAGGAGGAAACAAAAATCTTAGGATCAAAACCAGCTCTTCATATAGTCAATGAAAACTATTAGCAGATGATGAGGTGGGGACATCTTAAACACTGAAGCATATTCTTTAGAGAAAACCCATCTTTAAAATGATTTCAAAGAGCAGTTATACTTCAGAGTTACCTTATAGAGATTATCATTCTGTCCTTAAAAAATATCTAGCTTTATGAAGAGAAAAAAAAAAACTAGTAAAACTTGAGAGGGAAAAAAAGCAAGAGGGCTTTTTTTTGTTTGTTTGTTTGGTTTTTTGTTGTTGTTTTGTTTTTGTTGTTGTTTTTGGGGGGGGCATTTTTGCTGGTTTGGAATTTTTTTTGGTAATATTGCAAAATTCATAATTTGTCTGGGTTGACATTGTGGCTGAGAATTAGCAGGTAAAGGAGGGTTTTAAGCTCTTTATATCCTCTGAAGGATTTCTTCTGAAGGAAAGCCTCTTCTTATCATCATCTCTCAGGTCCACAGAATCTCAGTCCTGGACCAAAGTGTGTGGTGCTTTGAACTTTCATATGTGATTGGAACTGTACACTGAGCACTTGGCGTGTGTAAGAATTCAGGCAGATTACAGCACAAAATCCCTCTCTTTCATGAGGACTGCAAAAAGACAGAGACATTACCAGCAAGAGATAGCATGTCTCTGTCATTTAGAGTTTCTCCCGGTACTTTTTCACAGTTCTAATACTGATAGTGACTAAGAACTGTTATTTCATTAATGTTTTGTTGTGGTTTGTTTACTCCCACAGGAAATAAAGGCTTCTTTGCCTGATATAATAAACAACAAATATGGAAAGAAGGTCTTGTTGTACTTGCTAAGTCCTAGAGATCCTGCACATTTTGTTCCAGAAATCATCACACTTCTGCAACAGGGAGATGGAAATGCCTATAGGTAACTCAGATGTGAAGGTTACGTGTTTTTTTCTTAGGAGTCCAGAAGAAGTCATGCAACTTTTTGTCGTGATTTAATTTCAACTTTGCTTCAAAATAAATCTAAGTAATGTAAATATATATAAATAATACATGTTTGCCCCTTTCGTGAAAGGCAAATACTGTGATATATTTTGTGTGTAAGCTCATGTATGAAATTCATTGTAGAAGAAAATTTGTAATATGCATTACTGGTGCTTTGGGTAGCTTAAAAGTATATCTCAAAATCTAGCAATAAGAATGGAAATTGTTAATTTGATTTCAGTCTCTGGTATTGACAGTGATGCTTACCAACTTTTCAAGAAGGAGTAGTTCTAGATGACTAGTAAGCTGTGTAAAAAATACATTGCCATAGTTGAGATAACAAAATGAAAAGAAATAGTAAGTGTTACTTACAAGAAAAAAACTCAAGAGGTTTTGAGGCAGTCAGCTTTAAACATGTTTTCACTCCATGCATTCTTAAATTCTGTGTCCAACATGCGTTTAATTGTACATGAAACAGAGGGAACAGTAATGCCTGTATTTGAATCTAGCAGTAATTTAAATGTCTGAAATAGCACATACATTGTGAGATTTCTTGATACTTGATGTGCATACAGTGCAAATCTTCTCCAGTAATGCGCTGTCTCTTTCATCAGTAAGAAGAATACTGAACTCCGTCGCCATGAACTCCTGGAAGCCATTTCCTCGCCTTTGCTAGAATATTTGCAAGAACATACCCAAGAAGTAGTGATAGACAAAGCTACTTTTGTCTTGGTTGCTGATATTTTAAGAACAGCTCTTGGTGACATCCAGCCTGCACTAGATGCAATTGCCAAGTTAGCAGCAGAAGAGCTGGTTCCAGGAGGCTGTGATGGACAGGTAATGTACAGAAGACAAGGTGCTGAGATCTTGCAGATCTTCTGCATTGCTAAAATTAAGTCTGGTCTTGACTTCCTTTATGTAAGTCATCAGTGTACTGCCCTGATAGCACTTGCACATTAGATATGATCCGGTTTTCTGACTTGTGAATTCATAGTTTATTATTGGTGCATCTGGAGAGATGGTGGCTTGAGCCAGCATTTCACATGAGTTGTAGGGCAAGGTGCTTCATGATCTTCAATCTTCAGAACCGCTTTAGACACTTAGTGGGAAGGTTGCTAACAAGCATGTTACACAGTCTAATATCACTGTGCAGTCAAGCACTTAACAGTTAAGTTTTATAGGTCACTGGACTGTTTACATTGAGAGGGACAGGATCTCTTAGCTTTCAGGTGTGCATATCTCCATGCCAGGAAAGATCTTAGATAAGAGATGTTTGTCTTCACAGTATGACCTTCTCTTCAAAGAGTTCCCCTCCACTACTTTTTTAAACTCAGTCAGATATGTGATAGAGTGGAAAACAAAAAAAGAAATACAATGTATGCTGTATTTAAGATAGATATCTCCAGATTTTCATAGTTGTGGTGTTTTGCATTCTTTGATACACGTTCTATGAAATTTTAATGTGAACTACACATGTTTTCTGTCACTTTCTGTGAACCATACTTTAGCTGATTTTCAAGTGTGGAAATATGAGAGGTCCATAAGTTCTGGCAGAGTCAGTTAGACCAGGAGGTTCTCTTTATTAAGAATGAAGTCCTTGGAAGAGTGGATGAAATGTTGGTTGATATACTGAAAGTTAAATGTTGCAGGGAAGATGGCAAGAGTTAAATGGTCAATTTAAATGAGTGACTAGAAACTTACATCAAACCTGTTGATATCAGCATAGGCCATGACTCAGTGAATCAGTGTGATAGCAGAATGAATAAATCAAGCAGAAATATTTATGGCCAGACATGTAACTGAATTTTGAACCTACAGCACTAAATAATTTTGTTTTGGTTTGGTTTTTTTGTTTGTTTATTCCCCTTAAAGCTCCACATTGCAGAACATCCAGCAGGCCATCTAGTTTTGAAATGGTTAATAGAGCAAGATGAAAAAATGAAAGAGAGTGGAAAAGAAGGTATGTTGGAAATACAGCTTTATTTTCTCAGATTGACTTCAGAGTAGTTTGCTATCTGACCTCAGATAAGATAGTTGCAGTTATTTCTTTGAGTATACTATTATATGGAAAATCTAATGTTATTGTTTCTGTGTTTTTGCTGTTGTGAGCTGCTATACAAACAGAATGTCAAGGATATGTTAGCTTTTTTTTTTGCAATGCAAGCAGTGGTTGGGTTTCTTTTCTCAGTGCTTTAATGCGTATTTGGGGTGGAGTTCATTTCTGTGCTTAAAATGTCTTCATAGCTTTGCTAAATTACTTAGTAGTTTAAGGATAATAATAGAAACAGTGAAGTCTTTCTTATAGGAACCCCTGTTTCATTAGTGCTGGTAAGCCGAGCTGTAATCTTTATTGTGCTCATTAGTGCTGCTGGGTTAATGCTTTGTAACTGTTACTAAAATAATTTGTGCACAAAAATAGGACATCTTTGCTAGTTTATGTCTTCCATAAGGCAGATATTGGGCACAGATGTTCTCATCTTAATTTAGCTTTTAAACTTAGGTTATTACATAACTGTAAAATCTTCTGTGTGTATCACTCTGTCCTAACAGTGATTACTTTTTCTCATACAAAAAGCTCAAAAAATGAAAGCACGTGGTTGGCAAAGTGTAATCTGAGGGAACTTCTCTGTGTGTAATAGTTTTTTTCTATGTAGAATTATCGGATCTTGTTAAACTTTTTATTTCCTTTCCTCTTGCTACATTCAGGGAGCCAGTATTTCCTTTAAAAATGTTAGTTGTGTTTTATTAAATGTTTCTGAAAGTAGGCTGTTTTCCCACTTCTCAAGCAGATCATTGAAAATGTCCAAAGGAGAACTTTTGTGAGTGTCTTTCAGAGATTTGCCTGTCTGAAATGATGATCGTAAATCTGGATTTATTTCATTAAAAATTGTACAATTTCCAGTTTAATCACATGCTGTTCCCTTTGGTTTCCTCCAAAAAGTACCATTCAGAATTTCTGTTCTGAGTTTATTAAATTGTCATTAAACCCCAAACAAATTGCTGTCACATGGGGAGCAAGTTGTATAAAATCTAACCTGTCTTCGGGTGGAATTAGGATCTAAAGTGACAGTGAAAAATAGCTTCAGTGCTTGGAGGCTGGTGTTTGTTGGGGTTTGGTGGGGTTTTTTGCATTGTTTACTATAAGTTTGCTCAGCAGGCTAAGTTGTAAGAGCAGTTTCCATGCAGTTCAGTTCTTTAAATTCAGCTGGGTCCTTGGAGTCAGCCTAGGTTAATGTAATGAGTCTGAAGTCAACTTAGCTTTCAAAGCCACCAAAGAAATAGAGCCCTGGAACATTAGTACAGCTGAAAAAGACAAAGTTTTGGCATCAATAAAGGATTAGCTCTGAATTTTTAAGTAACTTCTGTTCAAATTATTTTCCTTCAGTTGTAGAGTCAGATGCTTAAAAATGTAGCATTTTTCAACAGAGGTGTTTATGTATTTAATATATTGCATACCATGATCTGTTCAGCCAGAATGATTCTGTGGTCCTTGCTGAGTTCTCTCTTTGGACTGGATGCCTGCTCTAAGATATTTATAGCCTTTTACACCCTTTTAAAAAAATGAACAAGTTTGTGTACTTTATAATAGTAAACTGTCACACAGTGCTACTGTTTTCTAACAAATTCCATGCAGTACTTGGAAGCAGTCCAGTATCTATAAAGGTCAGCATTGCATTGAACAGTCAATTATTTTGAGGCGGCAGAACTTTGTGAAGACTTGGGGACTAAAAACTATTTGATTAAATCAAAACTACAGAAAACTTTCAACAGGCTTCTTTCTAGAAAGATACTGTCTCATTTTTTCCTTTCCCTGCTTCTTTCTCACATTTTGCAGTTTGCTTTGGAAGAACACTGGTGGAACATGTTGGTATTGAGAATCTGAAGACCTGGGCAGAAGTAAATCGAGGTGCCATTATTCTTTGTTGGTAAGTATGGCGCATGACTACTTCTGATAAGATTACGTTTTTAATTTCTTGAACAGCTGAGAGAACATCAGTTGAAATTTCTACCAGCAAAATGACATTCAGCATGTGCTATCTTGAATGCAGCTGGCAAGTCTGGAATGAAACAGGGATTAGAAAGATTCATATCAGAGTTTCCATAGGTTATTCCTTGAGTTTCATCTTTTTTTTAGTAGTAGGAAGCAGCTCAGTATCAGAAAATCTGAAGATTAAAAACAAAATTAACAAAATTATTTTTAAAGTTGTGACTACCATGTCTTATATTACAAGCACAAAACTCTCAAAAGAGCAGTCCACAAATAGCTACATTAAAATAATTAACTTTAGAATACCTGGGACTGGTGGCAGCATACAAAAATCTGGAAATTGTTTCATTTTGTTTGTTTTGGTATTGTTGTATTTGGTACATTGTTGATGCCTTAATTGCAAAGGCTAAAAAGTTCTCACACTGAAGCAGAGAAGTGTTTGGAAGAGACCGTACATAAGAATAGTCTTTACAAAAGCCTATGATGAGCTAACTGGCTCACAAATTTGAAGCAGTGAACCATGCAGCTGGTGAAAATAAAAACACCCTACAGGGATCAGATTAAGATCAACGTTTTGTTTTATCAAGAGCGAACTCACTGCTTTCACTTTGTAGCTACCTGTCAGTATCAGATCATAGAAACCCAAGGTTTTGTCCTATAACCTGAAGTGTGTGGTCTGTGTTCTGGAACTTGTTTATCAGCCTTGCCCTTCTGGCGCCTCATAAAGACTTTCACTGAACCAAAGTCAACAAACAATTCAAACAGACAACATTAAGTTCCTTGATCTCTTTTTTCTGCTCCACTTTTCTCTCTCCTAAAGTTATTTTAGATTCCTTGCTCTTTGCTTTCCATCTCTGCTCTTTATCAGTTTAGAGTAGGGCTACTTCGATGTTTGTGCTCTTTGCAAGGTGAATCAAAAGCCATTTTCACTTCTGTTAGCTAATCTAAGTTTAGTTCTAACTTTTTTTAGTCATTGTTACTCAGATCACTAGTGAGAAATACTGGTAGTAGAGGAGTAGTTGCAGTCCAGATACAAAACCAGTTCACACAACATCTTACTAGTCATTTGTATGTGGCTGTTAAGATTGTTCAGCTGCCAAAATGATAATGCTCTTTCTTTGCCTCTTATAGCAGGTCTTTAGAATTCAACAAATGCACCTAATGCCTTTAAGTTATCTGATCCTGTGCACAGATGTTCATTGAAGTTTTGTTAGAAAGGCTTATTCAATGACACTATATTAATACGTGGATGTTTTTCCTTTAAGTCAAGGCTGAACAGATTAATTTAACATGTGATGTTGCTGGTGTATATACTTAGCTGTTGGTATTGTTCAAATAAAGTTGTAAAGTAAATTAATAGATTTTTCCCCATATTTAACACTTTAATAACTGTTCGCGATCACGGTGACAATAGTCTTTTAATAGAGATTGAAGACTTAGAGATAAAACAGGAAACTGGTCATTGAGCTTTAAAAAAACTGGCACAGGAGTTCGTATTTTGGGGAAAAATCTGTGAGGAATGGTAGTCTTTTTCTGTATCTGCTATTACTCATGTCACTACAGGTGGAGCCTTGAGAAATGTCCTCTGTTACCAAGCAGGGGATCTTACCTCCCAGCATTTTCACCCATAATGAAACTTAGCTAACAGGAACAAGAGAAAAAAGTACATTGTAGGACTGTTTGTTGTATGTTTGATGGAATTTTGTTGGTAGTCTTTGGTTTATTTCACTTAAATCTAAATTCTTTTTAGAGTGATCTTCTCTTGATGACTTTTTAGGCATGATGTCCTTTTGTTTAGGCAGCTGAGAGTGCACAAACATAATCATCTCCTTGTGTTCCATTTCTTGTCGCTATCACATAGCAATTAATTGCATTTTTGTTTAACTGCATGCACTGAAGTCAAGAGACTATCTAAATTGTACAGCAGTGATTAATTTAGTCTGGTGTTTAGTAACATCAGGGTGTTTTTTAACATAAAGTAATGGCTGGGTTTTTAAAAACCTTTTCATTTAAAAAACCCAGATACTTCTTGTCGTGGTTTGACACTGACCAAATGCCAGGCACCCATGGAAGCTGCTCACTCACCCTCTCCTGCCACAGCTTGGCAGAGGAGAGAAAAAAAAATTATCAAAGGGCTCATGAGTTAAGATAAGGGCTGGGCAAAAACACTCCAAGTGCAAAACAGGTTTAACTTAAAGGTAGAAAGTGAATTTATTACTAACAGAATCAGCAGAGGATAATGAGGAGTAAAATAAGCCCTTGAAAAAAACCCCCACTTTTTTGTCCTTCAACCCCTGCCTCCTTTCCGCAGACAGCGCAGGGAGGGAGACAGGGTGTGGGGGTTTGGTCAGTTCATCACCCAAGGCTTTCTTCTCCTGCTCTGGGAGAGGAGCTCTTCCCCTGTGAGGCCGTGGGGTCCCTCCCACAGGACACAGTTCTTTGTGAACTTCCCTGGCATAGGTCCACTCTCATGAGAACAGTCCTCCCAAAACTGCTGCAGCATGGGTCACTCTTCCACGGGGTGCAGTCCTCCAAGGACAGGCTGCTCCAGCCTGGAAGCAGGGCCCCCTCTCTCCATGGAGTCTCCCACTGGACCACAGCCTCCTCCAGGCATCCACCTGCTCCAGCATGGGCAGCTCCCCCATGGGCTGTGGGTGGATCTCTGCATCCCCCATGGATCCCCATGGGCTGCAGAGGCACAGCTGCTTCACCCTGCTCTCACCACGGCCTGCAGAGGAATCTCGGCTCCGGTGCCTGGAGCACCTCCTGCCCTCCTTCTGCACTGACTTTGGTGCTGCTGTGTTGTTTCCCTCACATGTTCTCACCTCCTCCTGTTCTCTGGGTAGAAAAAAAACTGTGTGTCTACTTTGTTTTGAATTTCTTCTTAAATATATCATCACAGAGGTGTTACCAACATCTCTCATTAGTCCAGTTTTGTCCAGCAGCATGTCCATCCTCGGAGCCATTGGGATTGGCTCTGCCAGACATGGTGGAAGCTTCTGCAGCTTCTCACAGGAACCACTTCTGTGCCTCCCCTTGCTACCAAAAACCAGGCCATATAAAACAAACAAACTTCTTTTGTCATAAGGAGTCTCAAATGTTCAGACAGAGGTAATTTACAGACAATGCTAGCTCACCCTAAAGCCATGATAGATTTTTGTTTTGTTGTTGGCTTTCAGAAGCCATCTGTCACATATGTGCAGATCTGAAACTCAGAATTACTCAGTGAGTCCATTTGAAAATTTTTGGCTATCTAGTCCTTTGAGCTTACTTGTCATTTATAAGCAATGCATGTGCTTGGCTTCTCAGTAACCAGGTACCCTCTGGACCTTCTCCTTTCCGTGCCCTGCTTGCTTTTGATTGTAATAAAAATATATGGGGCCTGGTTCTGACTTGGTACTATCTTGAGGATCCCAAAGGTAATGAGAGGACCCTCTGCATGTTCGCATGTGTATTAAGTACATGAATGTCGTAGATGCTTGCCTATTTAAATTTCTATATATGACTTTTCTGTATATTTTTAAATTTGTAAATGATGTGTAGCATCAGGGTAGAACATGGATAAGAATGTACTTCACCGAATGTGTTACTGACTTCCTTTATTTCTGTAATCTGTGAAAGTTATGTTTTACATCCACAAAATACATAGGTGCCAACTTTCTAGACCTTGTAAGAACTTACAGAATAGTAATTTAAAAATACCCCTCTCTGTCACTATGTTGGTCTTCTGGCTATGTTATCAAACATGCAAATGTTCTGTATTAATAACATCGTCTTGACAAACCTGTGGTTACTATGAGTTTGAAAGCAATGTCACATGTATAGCTGTCAGAAGCTGGCATTCATTTTTAGAGAGAAGTAAAATGCAGTCCAGAGCAGCTTGCTGCTTTGTGTGGTCCTTGCCTCTTGTGGTGAGTGAAAGATACATACCTCTCCATGTTAATTACCAATGTGTTCAGGACATCCTTTTCCAGGATTCTGGTCTTCCTTGCTTTTATCAGGGCCACATCAATCATAGATCAGAACATATAAACCTCACCTGAATTCAGTTTTAAAGAAGGCCTCTTGATTAAATGGTAAGAGCCGGACAGTTAAAATGGTTAAATGGTTACAGCTAAAAGTGTAACACAATTTGCTGCTAAAGGTTGTTGTAAAGTCATAGAAATAAATCTGGGGATTAAGTAGCTGAAAGTTGTGGTGTTGTCAGATGGACATCCAGTGCTTTTCTGCCTGTATTGTTGCCATCCAGCACAGGATTTGGTGCCCTAAAGGAGATGAAATTTAAGTCTCATCTTAAGCTACGTTAATTCCTTTATGTCTTACTCAGTTCAGTTTGCCATGTCTAATCATTGCTTAAAAAGTAGGTAAGAAATAAACTTTTAGGTTGATGTAAATTTGGGAGCCACTTGGAAGAATCCTAGGGATTATAAGGACTTGTAGTATCATGCAGCCTGCTTCATACCAGCACATGGGTGTTACAATTTGTTTCTAGTCTTAGTTTATTTGTATGTCTTGTAGACTTGTAGTTCTGATCTGGTTTGCACAAACTGGCTGCAGAAGGCACTTTTCTAGCCAGTGTTCACTCATAATTTTGAAGTAGCAAATTAGATATGTCACTAACTCAGCAGATCTTGTACTTCAATCCAAGAAACATTTCACTATTAACTGAAGAAAGGGAAAAGGACAAGCACTACTAAGCTGGTAGTATTTTATAGCTTATGATGAATTTCTTTGTTTCTGAGGAACAGAATTTATCTGGGAAATCTGATTTGGTTTCCAGAAGTAGTATCTAAAAGGAGAACAGAACTGGTAAGGCTTCATTGTTCTTCACTAACTGCAGCATGAAAGTAGTTAAGGTGCTTGATGTATAATAGATGTACTTCACTGCATCCAGTTTTTGGATGCACATTACAAGAAAGACACCAACAACTGGAGTGAATTCAGTGGAGGGTGACTGGCGTAGACTTGGGCTGGGTCCCTTGGCTTGGGAGGAGAGGCTGTGTGGCCAGGTCTGTTTCAGCTGGGAAAAGGTGCAGCTTGTGGGCTCCTGAGAGCATGTCTGGCACCAATGGGATGGATAGAGGGCTGGTCCCTTCACAGCTATGGATGGGTAGAGAGCAAGAGGCAGTGGCACAAGCATAAACACAAGATGCTTAGGCTGGAGATCAGGAAAAACCTTTTCCCCATGAGGATGGTGCAGCAGTGGGGCTGGGGCCCAGGGAGTTCTGGCTGTCCCCAGCCTGGCAGCTTTGAAGCCCAGACTGGGTGAAACCCAGAACAACCTGGTCTGACTCAGTATTTGAACGTGCATTGAATAGGGGTCAGTAGTTTCTTGCAGACTGATTTATCCTCTGTTGGCTGTGTTCTGCCTTGATGTTTCATATTTTGTGGAATGTTTTACATAGTTTTTATAGTATATATAGCCAGATGATAGCATCCAGCTTGAACTATATTTTTCTTAAATAGTTACTGTTTCCCATCATGGACAGCTTCTATTTCTATAACCTGCATGCTGACCTTTGATGTCCTTCATTTTTTTCCTATGTCTTGCAGCCTTCTCCGAAGCACTGATGAAAATGTGGCAAGCACAGTCAAAAAAGGACTAAAAAAGCTCATCCCAAAGCTGAAGCAGAATAAACATATAAAAGGAATAGAAGCACTACTGGAGAAATTGACTTCGTAGTGTAAATGAACCTAAAATAATTATTTACATCAATGCAGTCAACTGAGATTTGGTAAGATTTTGTACCATGGTTGTTTTAAGAAGCAGTGTATGCATTTGTATATTAAATAATTTCTAAAACAACTTGTCATTGTACTCATTCTGTTGTGCACAATAGAACATTGTCCTCAGAGATTGAAATCTCAAGATTTAAGAGCTAATGGAAACTTCTGAACATGTAATCAGGGCATTCAGTCTTTCCTGATAACTTAAACAAAAATGTTTTGAGTGTTGTTAACATTTGCATGTATGCTGTCATGGTTACCATAGAAACACAGGCATCTGTTCTGGACATACTGTATTTGGGCAATTGTATTTGTTTTAATCCCCTTCCCTCTTGGTTTCCTTAAAAAAAAAGAAAAACCCAGACCAACCAGGAGGACTTCTTAAGTCCCATTCTTACCCTGTGATGGAGGCTACCCTCCCTAGGAACTAACAAGAATAGAATGAAAATAGTGTCTCTGACTTTTTTCAGAGAAGGTCCTGAAGGAACAGCTGACTGTTCCAATGGACCACAATTTGGTTTCACTCACATCTTCTAACTACACTCTTTTAAGCCCTAATAAACCAAAGAGATTTGGAGGGTTTTTTGGTTTTTTTGTGGTAAGTGAATTCACTTCCACGTGATACCAAATCGGTATCCTATTGATTTTTCCTGTACCTTATTTTGATTTAGAAAAATGAAGCCAATATTTCATTTTCTCCATTTAGGAAAAAATCCAAAACTTCATAAGGCATTCAAAGAACACCCACCCTGCTAGTGCTCAAGGCTGTGCTGATAGACTGATCCAAGCAGATAACCAGATTGATTAAATCTCCAGCTGTAGGAGTCACGCTTTAGTGTTGCTTAGCTTGACAAGATGTGGCTCCATTAGTAATAGCAGATACTTAGGCACTGCTTCTCCTAAGATAGCAGCTTCCTCAACGTGAAGTACAATGCAACTGCCAGTGGTTGGTTGCCAGTGGTTAAGTAAACTGGTTTAAGTTCCCATGTTTTACATACTTGAAATCAGTCTAAACTACTGCTTTTACTGACAGAGGTCATCATGGTCCACCACTAGTCCTGCACTCCATTGGTAGCTGCAGTGCTCAGCACACATTACAACCAGATTACCCAGTGTTAGACTCAGACTTGAATGCATAGAATGAGGTAGAAGACTCTGGTTCTCTAGGGAGCACCTGTATGGCCCTGATGTTAAAGCACACAATCAAACCATCAGATTCATGTAAGCACACATTCTTACATGGCTGTTTGCTATCCAGTTTATCAGCAGCTTCTCTAGCTGCTCCCAGATGTCTGTGCCAGGTTCTGAACATTAGATTATTGCCCTCAGTAACCTGAACATTGGGAAGGGGATTTTTTTGCCCCTCCTTGTTTTGCTTTACCACGAACTGGAGCTACAAAGTTGATCAAGGAATTGGAGCATCTCTCCAATGGGGAAAGGCTGGGGAAACGGCCTGCTCAGCCTTGAAATTACTTGAGTAAGGGCCTCATCAGTGCCTGAAAGTGTCCAAAGGGAGGGTGCCAGGAGGATGGATCCAGGCTCTTCTTGGCTCTGAGCAATAGGACAAGAGGCAAAGGGCGGAAACTGATGCATAGAAGTTTCATCAGAACATGAGGAAGAGGTTTTTTGTACAGTGGAACAGGTTTCTCAGAGAGGTTGTGGAGTCTCCTTTCACTGGGGATATTCCAGAGGTCTCTGGGCACAATCCTGTGCTATGTGCTGCAGATGACCTTGCTTGAGCTGGAGGGTTGGACCAAATGACCCACTGTGGTCCCTTCCAAACTGATTAGTTCTGTGATTCTGTACTTCTGTAATTATTCATCATAAATCTGTTGCATATTTTGTTCAGGTTGGCTTTTTTGGCAGTAACTTAGACTTCCTAATAACAGTTCACTACCATGTGAATCCACTACCTGTTGCTAATTAAAACAATCTGGTTTATTGTCATAAAAAAAATTGTGTTGCAGACACTAGTGAGCTGCAATCTTCAGTAACTGAGAGGATGTGTTTACAAGCAGGAATACTTAATGCCATTGCCAAGCAGGTCTAATTGGGATTAACCTTTAAGTATTTACACCTACTCAAAAACTTAGGTGGAATTTGAGGCGAGCACAGTCAGCAAAGTATTAGTAAATCAACAGATGCAAATAAACAATGTTAGAAACCATTTTCGTAACTATAACGTGTACTGCCCAAAGTAGCCTAAGTAAACTATAAATTACAATTGGGTTTATGATTTATTTGTTTTTATGAATTTGCCTATTTGAATATCTTATAATTTGTTTTATGAACTAACAAATACTTCCCCCAGTGAGAAGCAAGAGATTATTTATAAAGATGAAACAGTGCATTTCACTGCTTTAAACTATTTAGACTTAAACATACACATCTAGAAAATGTACTTAATTCCAGCATCTGATTGGCAATGGCATTAAGTGTTCCTGCTTGTGAACATGTCCTCTCAGTTACTGAAGATTGGAGCTCATTAGTTTCTGTAACAGGATTTTCTTTTGTGACAATAAAACAGATCGGTTTAATTAGCAGCAGATAATGAATTTAAACTGTAGTGAACTGTTTCTAAAGAAGTTGCAGTTACTGCCAAAAACCCAACCTGAATGAAATATGCAACAGATTTGTGACTGAGTAATTAATGGTACAATAAAAGCGGGAGAGGAAAAAAAGTCTGGTACAACACTTCTCAATTTTTTGGGTTATTAAGGGGAACTAATACTTAGAATCTGGCACAGACATACTTCCAATCAAGAGGATTACAGGGAGCAATGAAAGTAAGTTATAGCTAGAGAAGATGCTAATAACCAGAACAGCAAAAAGCTGTGTAAGAATGTGTGCTTACATGAATCTGATCTGATGCTTTGATTGTGTACTTTAATTATGGTTGCTTTAGCTGGATGTGTACCAGGCAGTTTATTTACATTTTTGAGTCTGCATACATCATTTATTTTAAGTTATGTATAGTAATTTGCAGTGACTGGCTGTTCTCCGTACAGGAAAGAGAAATGCCTCTCTTCATTAAGTAGGCATAAGTTAAGTTTATGCTATAGTTGTCACTGTTTTCCTACCAGAGATATAGACATAAATTTTACTGTTAAGATGTGTCTTTAGTATCAATTGAAAACAAATTCTAGAACAGCCTAAATGGAAGGAGAGAAAAAGCAGGGTATGTGGAGTATGAAAGATTGTTTCAATGACTTAAGCTACACCAAGAGTGGCCTGGTTTTTCCCAGTGAGGAAACTGGTTGGGTGCAGTGCCATATCTGTCCCAGTCCGCCATGGGTCTCTGTTGCTTTGTGGAGGCGGAGAAGTAAATTTTTGAAAGTTTCTGAAATAATAAGTGTTTTTTTCCTTGATTCGGTTTTTCTTTTCAATGTATGATTTTTATTTTGTTTGAGTTGTGCTTTTTTGCCTACTTTAGGTTATCCAAAGTGCTCAAATTATTGCCAGCATCGTAATACAACTTGCACTAATTTTTTTACTGCCAAGAAAACAATGGAAGTGCACGGGCTGCAAGTAATTTTTTCTGTCTGCTGTTTGCTCAGAAGAAAGGCTGTGCCAGCAATTATGGGGCATCTATTTTAGAGCCATTTTCCCAAGGTGAAATGCCTGTCCCTTGTGACCAGACAACATCTCTCACCTTACTTAGCAGAAGTTGGAGGGTGAACCACCATTGTGAGTGCTAGGACAGAAGAGGTGGTAATGATTGTTTTATTTTCTGTTCTTAGAAGACCGAAGACCTGCTTCCTTGGTATTGATATCTGTTACTGTGTAACAGTGTATTTTCCATTATCTTGGAAGTAGGTGCATGCAGATGGGTGCAGTTGCACCTTAGTAGCTCTTGGTTTAAGGTACAGAAGAATCAGCCTTGCCCTTTGCTGCTGAGACAGGATCTACCAAGAGCACGCAGTGTTTCGCTTTCCTACTGACTCCACCAACGTACTTTTCTTCAAAAGCAAAAAAAAAAAAAAAAAAATACACAATGACTTTGAGTTTGTTTCTGATTGCAGAACTGAGGGAAAAGGTGGGATCAGCAGAAAATGCTGTGATTGACTTAGCTGGAAATAAAGGAGGAGTGTTTGGGGTCAGTATATACATTGCAGACAGACTGTGACCCATAACTGAGACTTGCTTTCTTAGTCCTGTCCATCTCATGTCTAGCTGGGTTGTAGACTGTCACAATGGACACGAGGCCATGCCCACATATGCACACCACTTGGTACTTACAGAGTTGTACTATGTGCTCTCTTAATTCCTGTGTTATGTCTAAAAAACTAAACTATAATAATCTGATATAAAAAGTGGGATTTTTTAATTTCTTGCATCTTTAAGACAGGTTCATGCAAGAGTTCATTGCATTAATCAAGACATATTTTCTTCTGGTTTCTTGGAAGAAACCTGTATTGCCCATTTAACACATGGCATTATCAGGTTCAAGATCATTGCCAAAACCCATCTGTACTGGCTGAAGTGGATTGAGCCATCTTGTCATCTGCTGTCATGGAAGATGGTTTTAATTGCTGGATTCATACATCTTTCAATCAGAATGTGTCTTACAAGTACACTTATGCTTTACACAATGCAAAAATCCTACTCATTCTCTGATTTCCACTGTCCTCCCCACAGGTGGTTCTGCCTGCCATTCAGGTATCTTGTCAGTCTGTACTCTTAACTGGAGTGTGGCTACATGGATTGTATCTTTTATTAGAATTTTAAACCAAAAATAAAATGCATAGAGGAGGGAGCCTAGAGGACTTCTGGGTATACAGGTATAGACAAGCAGGTGCTTTAAGCATTGAATTAAGAAGTCATCAAAAACTTTTTATCCCTTTGCAAAACAGATACAAATAAGACACTTGTGGAGGGTAAAAAGAAAATTGATCCAAAACAGCCAACCATCACCACCACCACCAAAAAATCAAACAAAAAGAAAAAAGACAAAAACCAAACCAGGGTTTGTTATTTTAATGATAGACTAAATTATAAGCATCTCTGA